AACGTGTTGAGGCTAGGTGGCAGATTCTCACGCTTCGGATGCTGACATAACGAAAATTTATGCTTCGTGAGTTTTTATATCATTATTGCCATGAAGTTAGGTTTGGTATTTATTAGTGATGAACATTCAGTTGCAGACAATTGAAATATTTTCTTAAAAAAGTTAAACTGTTCCGTACATTCAAGTAATGGTACAATGATAGCGTACTGAACCCACCATTTTGTGGCATGGCCACAGACTTCATTCTGATTGATTAAGTCAAATCTTCCATTTCTGGTCCAACATTTCTACGCATATATTTAATTTAGGAAAAGAATTTCTTAATTATATGTACTTAGAAAAACTGTTGTTTTGAAAAATATGACCAATGGGCTAATGGTTTTGTAAATTTAGCTCTTTATATAGATAGATATCATTTAGCCGAACTTGTCAAGTATCTTGATCACGTTCAAAATCGAACTAGTGTGGCAGTGACGTTTCTCATCTGACCCATACAAATGAAGCTCCATTGAGCTCCACACAGCTCGTTTGGCGCAAAGTTAGGCCATATGGACTACTTAATAATGAGAATTGTGAACCCAAAGAAAATACTGACGATGAAAGACAATTGCCCCTTATTTCCAAACACAGCGAGTTTGCCAACTAGGCTTGGTTAGCTTGTTTAATGGACAAATAAAGGGGATTTTGTGTACTCGGGAGGCTTGACTCGTTTATAGCTCTTATATAGCTTATAGTTCATGGCTGAAAAAGTTAGTTGATATGATATTTGGTAAAATTAGTTGATAAATCAGGTGAAATAAAATTTTCAAACTACTTATCTGAAATGCTACTCGAGAATCTTATGAGATAAGTTATTTTTACAAAAACTTGTTCTACCTAACCAAATAAGCTATATGCTAGCTTATGGTACTTACCAAACACACTCTATATACGAACCAAATTCTAATTTTGATGAGCTAATTCGAATCTGAAACATTCTGGTTCAAATATAGCTCACATATACCTAGTTTCAAACTTTAACTTATTTTAAATTTCAAGAATAATTTTCATTCAAAAGCTTCACAATAATTCACTGGGGGCACACACTAATTTCAAAATGAATGTCTTTTACTGGGCTTCAAAACCCTATGTTGCTACGAGTTATAACGTTTGTCCAAAAGCCACACGTTTTCTCCACTTTGCCTTTTGTGTTTGACAGATAATAAAAAAAAGGAACAAAATAGGGTAAATGCGGGTCAATTCTGTCTCCTATAATTTTTTCCCATTTAGGCCCTGCTTGCTGGGCATAGGTTATATTCTCAGTGAAATAATAATAATATTCTTTCATCTATATCTTTTTTTTTCCTAATATTTTTCTTGTAAGGAATCATGAAAATGTAGCTAGGTGGGGGAATATAGAGTTTTTGATGACCCTCATGACACCTAGAAAAAAAAAACTTTTGAAATATATTGGCCCGGATTTATTTTAATGTAACCAATAATTATATCTCGTGAAAATGTTTATCATCGTACATATAATTTGGAGTTACAGACATTTTTGAGTTTTCTAATTTATATAAGTGTTTGTCTTTCGAAAAAAAAAACAAAAACAAAAAAAACCAGGCTATATAACAATTTTTTCTACTTATTACTTATTTTGTAAGGCAACATGTAATTGCTCAATAACATAGCGAATGAATATATAGTCCGGAGCATAAGGCAACATGAGTAAGATGATGGTTGGGTGATCTGCTGTTCAGGTAGGGATTTAACATTGGTATGAGTGTTATAGGTTGGTGGCTACGAAATTTCATCTTTTGGCAATTTCGGTATTTGTATCACTTTAAGTTATCAAATTTCTAATAAATTTCAATGTACCATAATTATTAACACAAGAATACACTTGATTTTCTTATCAATATTTTATATAATACAACTAATTTTCTTATTAATATTTTATATATGTTTTTCATGCAGAATAATAGTAATGTTATATTTTATTGAGTTGTTGTGTGTACTTGGTTTTATCTGGATTTTCAACACACCTAGTAACACTACACGAATAAAAGTTCATTTATCTCTTTCAAAGAATTCGTTGCAAACCCGTAGAATCTCTCAACCACTGTAACGTCAGATTTCAATTTCGTCAAATTTTTTTTTCAATGAAATTTTAAATAGGTCTGTCATTCCATTTTCTATTATATCATAGTTTTGAATTTTGCGTAAAACTGAGAGATAAGAATTTGTTGTTTGCTATTTTATATTATTGTTAATTTTCTCACAACTTTAGTCTTTTATTCTCATTTTTATTATTTTTCCATATTTTTATAAAATTGAGTCATTTGATTCTTACTATTTCTTTTGTAAAGATGGAAGGGATGGGGCATAATGAAGGTTACTTGTTCTTTTAAGGGATGGAAGGGATGTGGGAACCATTTTTTGTTAATTTTCAAAATCTATAGTTATTATTTATTTGATCAATAGGTATTGTTTAACTAATAAACTCTTCTATTAAAGTATCACTATCAACAAATCCTATAATTTTTATGTTCTATTTTTTTATTTTTCAAATAAGAAATGACTCTAGAGCTGGGGTTTAATGGACTACGAAATAGTGCATATGTTTAAGCATGTATGGTTTTCAATTAGTGTCCTAATTACTCATAAAGTATGCTTATTTTAATTCATATGATATGGTAATCTTGGTAATGTACCATTCTTCTATCTGTTCTTTATTTCATATGTTATGTTATTTTTATTTTGAAAATAAATTGAGGTGGATGAAGTTAGTTGTTACATGATTTAAAAATACGAACCTATAAGATCTCAATATTTTTTATAAATTAAGAATGATTTAAAATACGAACCTATAAGATCTCAATATTTTTATTAAATTAAGAATTTTATGTGCCATTATTATTCATCATGTTTTACTTATGTTTGGCTATATTAAAAAATATAAAATTAGAATATATATTTTTTCATAAAAAAAAAAAAATGCCCTTTTCAGTATCTTCATTTTTCCAGAAGCAAAAGAATTACATCGCAAAAGTTATGCACTCAGTCTCAAGATGCTCCTGAATTTTTTGGCGCGATTGTTTCTCAATTTATACCGATCAAAAATGCAGGGGCCGGCCGATTGCTCCCTGACACACCTGAACCGCTTTCTCTCGAAGGCCACATCCGAACATGTCTCTCGTCAGCGGCCACGACGACGGCGGCGGCGGCGGAGGCGACTCGCAGGTCGTGAACACCCGGGTCGGCCGACTACTGAGAGAGCGGGAGCTGAAGAAAAGCCTCAGGACCACGCTCTCATCCATAATCGACGGTCCAGACGCGATCGGAGCTGATTACGACTCTTCGGGGTCTCAGGACATGGAGCGGAGCTCGGAGGGCTCCACCGTCGATGGTTTGAGGGAAAGCCCCGACGGGAGGCCTATCAGGCAGCGGCTGCTGGTGGTGGCGAATAGGCTTCCGGTTTCCGCCGTGAGGCGCGACGATGATTCGTGGTCTCTGGAGATAAGTGCAGGCGGTCTCGTGAGCGCACTATTGGGTGAGCGTTTCCCGTTTTTACTGATGCCGATTTAACTGCATGTCCTGCATCTTGTATGTCCGCATCTACCTGCTCTACGTGTTATTTTCGTTTTTTCAGCAATTCCAGCCGTGAGCGCTTGTTCCGGTATAGCTTATTGCTGTTTCCTCATTTTATTTTATTTTTGCAATTTTGAAATAGTACATTTACACTGTTCTGTGCTCCTTTTTTCTTAAGATTTGCTGGACTGTGTGCCACATGTTGTAGGTGTGAAGGAATTCGAGACACGGTGGATCGGTTGGGCGGGCGTGAACGTGCCGGATGAGGCTGGGCAGATGGCATTGACTAAAGCTCTAGCTGAGAAGGTGAAAAACAGTCTTAGGAATTTGTTCATTACTTTCAGAGGTTATGAATTTCATAAACTGCAATGTATAACGTTTAGTGTTCATTAACTTCACACTAGTGTTCATAATATTACTGTTTAATAATGTTATTGTTTTGTCGCATTGTAGAAGTGTGTCCCTGTTTTCTTGGATGAGGTGACTGTTAATGAGTACTATAATGGATATAGCAACAACATTTTGTGGCCTCTGTTCCACTACCTCGGCCTCCCGCACGAAGATCGGTTGGCTACCACCAGGAGCATTCATCAAACGCAGTTCGCCGCTTACAAGAGGGCCAATCGGATGTTTGCCGATGTTGTCTGGAAACACTATGAAGATGGTGATATCGTTTGGTGCCAAGACTACCATCTCATGTTTCTGCCGAAATTTCTGAAGGAATATGACTGCAATATTAAAGTTGGCTGGTTTTTGCACACCCCTTTCCCGTCTTCAGAAATCCATCGAACGCTTCCATCTCGAACAGAAGTGTTGCATGCGGTTCTAGCTGCCGATTTGGTTGGGTACATGTCTTGACATTCTAATATGCAAATTTCTGTCACGTATTGTACAATATCTGGAAAGTTGATCAGCACCACTTGGTTCACTAGCCTTTCCCTAACCCATATTATTGCATTTCAACTGCTTAGTATCTCCCAACTGGCTAGTAACTTTGCAGGTGCATTGCAATAGACTATGAAGGTTGATTTAGTGTAAATTGAACAGGCTTATCTCATATTCACCCTATGGTCATCTTTCTCTATAAAATTTGGCTCCCAATTCTTGTGCTACGAACATTGGGCTGAAGTGGCTTTGCTTTATTTTACTATATCTGATACGTAAATATCTTTTCTGCAACTTGATTTTAGTTGGATTTTTTTTTTCCAGTTTTCACATCTATGATTATGCAAGACATTTTGTGAGTGCTTGTACCCGTATTCTTGGAGTCGAAGCTGTTCCTGAAGGAGTAGAGGATCAAGGGAGAACAACTCGTGTGGCTGCGGTATGTTCTTGTGAATATATTCAGTATCTTTCAAGAACTCTCTTGATTATGAACTTCTCGTTTTCCAGTTGTGAGCATCAAAAGTCTAGAAACCAGCCTTAAAATTTTTTCCATCTGCCATTGTAGTTCCCAATAGGAATTGATGCCGAAAGGTTCATACATGCTCTTGAAGTTCCTCAAGTGCAGCGACTCATGGATGAATTAAAAGCACGATTTGCTGGAAGAAAGGTTATTTATGTTTAAATTTGTGTATTTATCTTCCTTGTATCCAAATTCGACAACCAGTATGTATGTGGTTTTAGCGTGACCAGATTTCAATTTCACTTTATCAGTTAACTTCAGTGATATGAATTTACCCCGTAGGATGATGCTTTACTTTATTAGTGATGTATATCTATGATACTCTTGTCAGCTAAGTAATTGCTCTTGCTTCTCTGTTATTTGATCTTAAAAGAATTTGAATTGTTATTGCATACAGGTAATGCTAGGAGTAGATCGCCTTGATATGATCAAAGGAATACCCCAAAAGATACTAGCATTTGAGAAGTTTTTAGAGGAAAACCCTGACTGGCATGATAAGGTGGTTTTACTGCAAATTGCTGTACCAACCAGAACTGACGTAGCTGAATGTAATTTTCTTTTCGACTTTCAGCTATGCTGATGTTTGTTTGATTTTATTTTATTTTTTTGAACTCCACTATGAAATTTTAATATTGTTTCGCCTTGTTAATCTCCATAGATCAAAAGCTTACAAGCCAGGTCCATGAAATTGTTGGGCGGATCAATGGCAGATTTGGAACTCTGACAGCAGTACCAATTCATCATCTGGTTAGTCGTTCATCAACAGGCTTAAGATGTATATTTCTGTTGCTTGCATTTGTATGCATCGAAAAACGTTTGCCATACTGCCAATACATTTTGTGAAAATCAAGAAAATATTCGATAACTTCTGTAACTGAATAACTTGATCGATTTTGCTAGAATTAAATGTTCTTGTACCAGTTGAGAGTCTATATGTTTGAAATATTGAATAACATGAAGATATTTTTTCAATAGTGGAACAACTAAAGGTCGCATGATTATTTTTGAGATATCTGAAACAAACTTTATACTGTCTGCAGGATCGTTCTCTTGACTTTAATGCCTTGTGTGCACTTTATGCGATCACTGGTATGGCTGTCTTTAGTAGATCAATTGTTTGATAAGAAAGAAAGCAGCACAGATAATAAGAGGGGATCTCATTTATTAATGTTATACTTTTGGGGTTTCATCAAATAGTGTTCCCATTTCAATCTTATGATCTTATCCCATGTTTGCTCTCGTTGGTTCCTATATACTAACAATAAGCCCTTAAAAGTATACCAGGTTCTTCAATATCCTCATGTGTTTTGGCGGCATGGTTCTGAATCAAGTTATGGCCTAATTGAATTTTAATTCTGTATTATTGATGAAATGATACCTCAAGTTTAGGCTTAAAATTTTTAGTGTCTGCTTCTAACTCGCAGACATTTCACTGATATACTTGTGGATCTGATAATGAAGATGCAGTAAAATGGTAGCATTTTGTGAATTCTAACAGTTCATTAAGTATTATGATGACGTTTTTCACCGCGATATGATTCACAGATGTAGCACTTGTCACTTCCTTGCGCGACGGGATGAATCTTGTCAGCTATGAATTTGTGGCGTGCCAAAGTTCTAAGAAGGGGGTTCTTATTCTCAGTGAAGTAATTATCTGACTCTGTTTATTTTGTTTGATAATTTGCCCACCTTTTATGAAATCTGCAATCAATGCTTCTTTTTAAGGCTGGAAAATATGTTCAGTATTTTGGAGATGGAAATAAACCCAAATTTGTTCAGATATTAGCATTTAGCACACACCGAGCATCTGTACATTAAAACTTCTGTTTGTTAATGTTGCATGTCTGACTTGATATTATTTCAACTTCTTGGCTGATCATAGTGTATTTTAGTTATGGAACTTCTGATTCTATAGTGTGAAAAAATTCATAATATTTTATCTGGTAAAATCGCCTTATTTTATCCTTCAACTTCAGTAACGTATGGCTGCCGAACTAGCATATAAATTTTTTAGTTTGACTCTATCTCATTTCCCCATTATAATTTGTGAATTATTTTGGTTACATGTTAAGTTTGCTGGAGCAGCACAATCTCTTGGAGCCGGAGCACTTCTAGTAAACCCATGGAACATCATTGAAGTATCTAATGCAATTGGACAAGCTTTAACTATGCCTGCAGAAGAAAGAGAAAAACGCCACTGGTATAACTTCAAACATGTGACGTCTCATACTGCTCAACAGTGGGCTGAATTCTTCATAAGGTATGTACTATGAGAGGTCAACACTGCGTTGAATATACTTACGCATCCAAAAGATGTAGGGATTTTAAAATATTCAGGGAACAAAATATGGAGTTTCTTCAGGGTAAATCTGTTATTTTAGAATGCACATGAAACAACAGAATCTGTTAACAGAATATGGAGTTGCTAGATGCACATGTAACTTTATGTGGAGGATTGTCATTTTAGAATGTTCAACTAAAACATAAGAAAGAATAAAGTGCTAAATCTGTTAACAATTTATTTCTCGAAATCTCGCAGGAAAGTGTGCGTGAGTGTGTGATTGTAAACCGAAAATGTTATAAAGGATGTTTGAAAAGCATTGCAGAAGTATAATGAAACCAAGCTATCAAACATTGTAAATTGATAAGGAGTGCATGAAAACATCAGAAGTCTTGTAACGAAGATTTTTCGGAGATTTCATGGTAACTATATGGTTTATCCCAATAGACTTGAGCTCATTGTGTTGCCTATCTAAGTATCTAACTCGTCTGTAAAAAACTAAAAATTATGTCATCTTGAAGTATGTATTGCAATGATAAATCCAGCTTCTTACCCGATGAAGACTTTCCATAGGTCCATGTGAAGTATTACTCGTAAATAACTTGTGCAGTAGAAAATGAACTGTCTGTGGACTGGAGTTATCTACGGTCACAGATCTATGAATGGAATACTGCTGTGTTGCACATTCTGAATCTACCAGTATTATGCCTGAATGAACTAAAATATTTTTGCAAGTCAGCCACATTTTGATTCTCATAAGAGTTTACAGGCTACATACAATAACTAGAAAGCTTATGATTGTGTTTACCTGAAGCTAATCTTTCCAGGATTGATCTTGCAGTGAGTTGAACGACACTGTTATTGAAGCAAAGCAGAGAATTAGAAAAATTTCTCCTCCGCTTGTTTTTAGCGAGGGAATCAATGCTTACTTGCAGTCTGAGAACCGATTACTCATACTGGTATGTTTTAATTTTCTAGATGTTGCATCTTTTTGTTCAAATAAGAGTCACAACATGTGAAACGACTATGATGAGAATTGAGAGCTCTATCCTGTTATGACTAATTTGCTTAGGTTACGTACCTATCTTAAGCAGTAATTAGGAGTTTATGCAGAATGCTAGAAAATTGTTTGTGTTTCTCTCCCTTCCCTCATCTTCCTGCTTGTTTCATGTTTTCTTCTGGTCATGTTTCTGGAAAAGTTGAGGTGAAAGTACTACTCAGAAGATAGTCTAGGCTGGACAGTACCTGTTGTTTTCTTTACATATCATTTAAGTAGTGGAATGGAATCATAGTTAGGCAGTCATGAACTCTGAGTATTTTGAATAGTGATTTGATTATTAATTTGAATATGGTGATGATTCAGTTGGACCCCTGAAGTACTTATCAGATATGCTTACCAAGATATGCTTTGATGTTTCCAATATTCCTTAACCTCTTTCGTGGATAATAGTTGACACAAAAAGGAAATTTAGTCATGCTTGGGAAATGATGTTTCTTACTGAGACTTGTTGAATCATCATATTCTCTGACCTGTTGATAATTAACTATATTTTACAGGGCTTTAATTCTGCATTGACTGAAACAGTTGATATACCTGGAGGACGGGGTGGGGATCAAATAAAAGAGATGGAACTCAAATTGCATCCTGACCTGGGAGGTCCACTAACAATACTTTGTAATGATCCAAACACAACAGTTCTGGTCCTCAGTGGAAGTTGCAGACGCACCCTTGATGATGTGTGTTGACTATTTTATGGCTTTGCCTTGTTTGTGCTTCTTGTAACTTGTGTAATACTAATACATGGCTTTAGTAGAGTTTTGGGGCCTTAATATTATGTTTCATATATTTTCTGCACTTTCCTTTTGTTTTTTTCTGTGGGACAACTTGTGATAATTGCTTTTTCTCGTAGAACTTTGGGAAGTACGACATGTGGTTGGCTGCTGAAAATGGAATGTTTCTGAGATCTACAAAAGGAGAATGGAGGACAACTATGCCAGAGCTTTTGCATATGGATTGGGTTGACACTGTCAAGGTATTTGTATTAATATCTTCACAATTTATTTCATTTTAATAATTTTTTAACTTAACTCAAGTTACGTACGTGGTGCCTTTGACTACTGGTTTCCAGCATGTTCTAGAATATTTCACTGAAAGAACCCCAAGATCACATTTTGAGCAACGTGAAACTTCACTTGTGTGGAACTATAAATATGCAGGTAAATAGTTCAGTTGTGTTCATGTTTCCGATAGCAGGGCTATGATTGTCTCCTTTTGTCCATTTTCAGAGGGAAGAGAGTGAGAAAGTAGTGTGACTGATAGTGAGGTGAAAATGTAATCATAATAGGTCACACGAACTTATCCTAAAATAGTAATTAAATCTGACTGATGATTAAAAATTCGAAACATTTTGTCTAAAATTATTGAACAATAAATTTATAAAGTGACAAGTCGACCAATTGAAGCCTTAACTTTTTTGGTCTTACTTTTCCCCTAAAGCATCATTTACTTATATATCAAGTTATACAATATCAGATGTTGAATTTGGAAGACTGCAAGCTAGAGACATGCTACAACATCTATGGTCTGGACCAATATCCAACACACCTGTTGATGTCATCCAAGGAAGCCGCACTGTGGAAGTACGACCAGTTGGTGTCACAAAAGTATATCCTGCCTAAACATTTCATTAAATTTTATTCACTATAATGCTTGTTAGAAGGTGTACGTGTCTGTATTTCAGTTACTAATATTATCTTCTTCTTTTTTCCTGTTCTCAGGGTGCAGCTATTGCCCGTATACTTGGGGAGATTGTTCGCAGTAAACACCTCTCTGGACCTATAGATTATGTCTTGTGCATAGGACATTTCTTGGGGAAGGTATGTTGTCTGTTCTTTTTCCTCGTATACCATATCAGACATGTATCTTACTTTTTCTGAATTAATTGCTCTATGAATGTTGTTTTTAGCAAGTGTCTTTCATACCAACGGTCGAACTTTACTTTTTCAAGTTTAATTACATAACAATGCAGTTTTTCTTTACACATGGAAAGTGCTGAAATAGTTCATATCTTAAATATGTAGTAAGTGGATGCTAGATTATTTCATCTTTTCCTAATCAGCTTCATTGTACTGCATTCACGAATTGATTTAGATGTCCGTTTATATTCTTAAACTTGCATATTACACTCCGAAATAAGATGCATGAAGCCTTTACAAAGCCATTTCTACTTTTTTTTTTTTCCTTTAATGTTCTTTGTTGCCTGATAATTGGAACTTAATTTTTAATTATAAGCTCAATTTGCAACCTCCAATTTTTCAAATTCGATGATTTACATTTTATTCTACTCTGCCGGTATCTCTTATAACCTTTGTCTTCGCTTCAGGATGAGGATATCTACACATTTTTCGAGCCCGAACTTCCCCCCGACACCAGGGGCACACCAAGAAGCAGCCAGAATTGGCCGACACCGAAATCCCCATTTGAACAGAGCACCTCAAACTCTCCGACTAAGAGCCCGACTGGTGAAAAAACCTCCAGAAATAGCGGCAAAAAAGCACATTCCCCAAAAACCGAAACTTCCTGGAACGTGCTCGATCTGAAAAAGGAGAACTATTTTTCTTGTTCGGTTGGCCGGACTTGTACAAAGGCTCGTTACATGTTTAACTCGTCCGATGAAGTGGTTGCCTTTCTCGATGAGTTGGCAGGTTAGTTCTTTGCTGAGTAGAATCTGTTCCTCCTGTGAAGTTGACAGGTTAGTTCTTTGCTGAGTAGAATCTGTTCCTCCTGTGAAGTTGGCGCTGACTCGTGTTGAGACTGCGAAATTTTTTTCTTTTCTTTCTACCTTTTGTTCGAGTACTTTGAACTTGGAGAAGTTGTTGGTGACAAGTGTTTGAAACATGGACCGACGTTAAATGCTTCATATGCTTTATAGTGTCGAGTATATATAGGAGAATTCAATGTTCTTTTGCGGTTGCCAAAATTCTCTCTTAGAAAAGTATGTTTTATACCCGCACAACTCTCCAATATGAGCTGCTGCAGAAAAAATTTAAGATTTTTTAGTAAAGAAAATCAGTCAACTATCAGTGAGTTTCACCCAACCAATGTAGATAGGGTAGGGTTGCAAACGAGTCGAATGGCTCACGAGCTGCTCGTGAGCGCTCGAGTCAATGCTCACCTTGAGTTTGAATCGAGTTCGAGCAGTTCAATTGAGCAAATGAGTCGAGCCTCGAGCATCACTTCAAGAGGCTCGTAAGCTCGACGAGCTGCTCGAATTTTTATTTACATAAATAACCCATATCATTTAATTATCAATATTAGAAACCAAGACAAAAATTGTCTATTTGGATTAAAAATATTACTTTTATATTTAAAATTTAGTTGTTTAAATTTTGATTCGAACTCGAGTCATATCGAGCATCAAGTCAACCTCGAGCCATGTCGAGCATCGAGTTGAGTTCGAGCATTCTTATTTTATTAACAAGTCGAGTCGAGCAGCATTTTACATGGCTCGTCGAGCTCGAGCAATGAAAAAACATTTTACATGGTTCATCGAGCTCGAGCAGAGAAAAAAAAAAGTTTGATCTGTGCTCAACAAGATCCACGCTCGACTCGACTCATTTGCAATCCTAGGCTGGGGTTTGAAAACTGTCAGATCAACATATATTTGCCTGTGTGCACATGTGATCCGACAGCTCGAAACTGGGCAAAGAAATTTCTGATCAAGGAAACTTCCAATATTCCAATCAACGGGGTACTAATTTCCTCCATTTAAATAATCCAAAATGAGAACAACAAGAATAATGATTCAAACAAAAAATTGTACACCCAACACTTTGCAAGTATATTCGCACAAGCAGCTCACGCAAAAGTGCTTATCATGCTAAAAGCTCACACCATCTACCAAGAACCAACCCTCACCTGTGCAGCTGTGCTGTATCGACTCTATAAAAGAAAAGAAAAAGAAAAGATAAAATACAGTACCCCAAAATACCACAACTGGGGCTACCAAACATAGAATACATAAATGTCATCTCAACTAATTTGATAATATATTAAAAATAAATAAAAAAATAAACAACCCACCACTCAACAGATCTGGAGCACTCACTTAGCAGGGCCGGTTTTCCTGTTCGGCTCGAACACATACTTGACCAGCGACTCTTTGATCGACAGCAGCTCGGGGAATTCCTTCTTCAACTTGGATGCATCCATCTCATTGTTACTCCTTGGGGCAACTATGACCTTTGCTTGCTCCTCCAAGGTGAAGTTGCTCCATTTGAAACCCGAGTCAATGTACTCCTTGTACATCTCCAAGATCTCATTGTGGCTCACCACCCCTGGGTTGGTGAAGTTCCATATGCCCCTAAGGTCTCGTTTGGCCATCTCGACTGAGATTGGGAGGAGCTCGTCCAGTATAGTCATGCTGTTGGGAATGTTGACCACCTTGTTGTAACGAGAGATCTTGGTGATGAAGTTGCGCGGGTTGTTGAGGTCCGAAGATATCGGCATGCGGACCCTAAGCGTGCACACATTGTCGTATTCTTTCAGAAGCTCCTCCACCTGATAAAAGACATAACAGTTTTACAAAACATTAACAATAGTGAATAGACCCGATTAAATAAACGCCAAACAGCAGTTTTATCGACAAATTTGAATTACCATGGCCTTCGTCTTGGAATAGAAAGAACCAGTGAAATTCGGCGTGTCTTCCTCCTTAAACCCGATTCCGGAACCTTCTGGATGTGCAGCATCATACTCAAATATGCAACCAGTGGCGTAGTTCATCACCAGCAGCCCATTCTCCCTGCACACATCCGCCAAAGTCAAAGTTCCCACCACATTGGTACGGATCGTCTCAGTCTTGTGGGACTCACACCAGTCGACATTAGGTCTGCCAGTTACACCAGCCGCATTGAAAACATGTGTGGGCTTAACAGATGCAATATCCTCCAAGATCGAGGCCCGGTCCTGCAGGCGCCCCTTCCCGTACACGTACGAAATCCCCTGCTTCTCGCAAATTTTACCGAGCAAGCCGCCGATCCATCCTGTCCGCCCGTAAATCAAGAATTTGAGGCCCGGATTCTGGGCCGAGGGCCCATTGTCCCTCGAGTTTTGGGTTACCAACGAGTCATGAGCCTTGATGGGCTCGTGCTTCTCGGTGCCACCTGGCATCATCAGCATCCTTGGGTGGGGGATCAGAGCTCCCGAAACATCGCCCCACCAGTCGGGGTTGCTCGTGTACCACTCCATGGTCTTCCTCAGACCCTCCTCCCAAGTGGTCCTCTCGGACCAACCGAGATTCTTAAGCTTCTGATCGTCAAGAAAGTACCTTTGATCATTAAACGGCCTGTTCTCGACAAACTCGATGCTCTTCTCCGGGTCCATATTGAACAATTTGCATATGTCCATGGCAACATCGATCACCCTTCTCTCCTTCTTAGTCCCGATATTGTAAACATGCCCGACTTCCCCTCTGTGCAGAACCACCTCAAAAGCCTCAGCAACATCCTCACAGTAGAGGTAACTCCTAACGTTAGACCCATCTCCGTGGATCGGGAGAGTCTTTCCCCTCATTGCCAGTAGGATGAATTTTGGGATCAGCTTCTCGGGGAATTGATTCGGGCCATAGACATTGTTCCCCCGGGTGGTGATCACAGGCAGCCCGTAGGAACGACCGTACGCCATGACGAGCATCTCGGCTCCAGCCTTAGTGGCAGAGTAAGGGTTCGTGGGGAGGAGCTGAGAAGCCTCGTGATTGCCTACAACAGCATCCTCGTCAGTCTCGCCGTACACCTCATCGGTGCTGACGTGAATGAAGCGGCGAATCTGGCCGGTGACCTTGCAGGCCTCGAGAAGCACGTGGGTCCCGTAGATGTTGTTTTTGGTGAACTCGAAGCTGTTGCCGAACGAGTTGTCGACATGGGTTTGAGCGGCAAAGTGCATGATGGTGTCGATGTTTTCAGTGATGAGGAGATAGTTGACGAGGTCGGCACTTCCAATATCGCCCTTGACGAACTTGAAATTGGGAGAAGGGTTGGAGGGAAGGAGATTCTTCAGGTTGGAGCAGTAATCGAGCTTGTCGAGGACCACGATCTTATAGTCCGGATGGTTCCGGACGAGCCGGTTGGCCACATGGGAGGCGATGAATCCGGCAGCTCCTGTAATCAGGATATTCTTGGGCGTGAATGTATTCGACATTTCGTATCGATTTCTGAAAAAAGTTCGGGATTCGAAAAGGGAAGTCAGTTTAGAGAGATTTGGATAATAATTTAGGGAGCAAGAATAAAGATGGGCATCATGAAGTTTGGAGAAACTGAAAATCATTTGCTTAATAGTTAATACAGAATTTTTCCTAATTTGGAAACCAGAGGTACAGAATCAAACGCATATGAATAGGGCCACAGATAACCAAGACGATTTTTCGAAAAGATCAGAAATTAATTCTACTGGCAGACATAAACCAATTGCAGACCGGATTAGAAATTAAATGCCAATGATTATTAGCAATAAGCAATTAATTACATAAAGCAGTTAACTATCTCAAACTCACGAGGCACAAATTCAAGCATCATTAAGGCAGGAACATTAAAAGCGTTTCACCAGATCAAGCTCCACTGTGATCTAATGGCAAACAATTCAAAATCAAGCTTTTTTTAATAACTAAAAAAAAAAATTCTACGAGTGCCTGCAGGGACGAATGCAAAACAAAACACACAGATCTGAATCAACCGCCGCGAACGGCGGCGAATCGACTGAAACCATGTAACAGATCCAGCACGCACCGATTCAAAAAAATCTCACACACAAACTAGAGTACGAAAAATTAAGTAAAAAAAAAAGGGAAATTGGGATCTCAACTCACATTCTTCTCCGATCGCACGGATTCCTGATCCAGATATTCACTCTCGAACAAAAAGAGGAAAAAAAAAGAATAAAACAGAGAGAAATTGATGAAAGAGAGAGAGTTAGTTTTTTTTTGGTGAGAAATTGTTTGGACCAACGGAGGTAAGATTTGGTGTAGCGAGAAGTGTGGAGGAACAAGGAAGTTCCTTCAACCTATATATACACACATTAGGGGGGCCGTGGCCCCCCTACCCCCACCCCACCCCACTGTGAAGATGAGAAAACGCGACTCATGCAATTTTTTTTTTTTTTTTAAAAAAACTTTATTTTATTAATTTTTTTATTTTGTTTGGGAAGTGGTGTGTTGGGAAAAACGGGCGGGAGGATGTGTGAATGACGGGTTTACCCTTTGACTGGAAGGTGATTTTTTTTTTTTTTTTTTTAGTCAGCCACGATATTTGAAGTTATGTCTCGACTAATTCGTTGATCGATTTGGGTCACACACCTGATAATGGTGGGTGAGTCTCTCAACAAAGATTTTCTGCATCGACAAAGACTTGAATTCGAGATCTTGCTTAAGCGACATCAAGCTGCTTACTATTTGAGCCAAGTTATGTTGCGGTGATTTTTGTTTTATAGGATAGGGAATTTCTTATTTTGGTGAGATCCCACGAGGGGTTAGGTGGAGACTTCATGTAAATAAATAATAATAATAATAATAATAATAACAATAATAATAATAATAATAATAATAATTTAGATGTTTGAAGTTGGTATTGAAAATAAAATAAAATAAAATATTTTAGTAATTAATTATGTTAATAGTAAAACGGAGTGCAAATGTGCAATAAAAAAAATAATATATATGCACAAATGAATTATTTTTAGTCCATGAATATAACTGAAATAAAATATAATTATTAAATCTGATGTATAAAAATATAATTATTCAATCGCTTTTAAATCTAGGTTAAAAGTAATATATTCAATTTTTGTTGTGATTTTTAATTTAATAATTGAGAATGACTGTTGAATATTAGTGTAGTGGGAGATTAATTAATGGCTCACATAGTCACATGGTATTTTGAGTTTAAACTAAGTTTTAGAAGATTTAAAAATTGGGTTGCCTTTTCCTCTTTCATACTCCAAAGTTATTTAATTGTATTTATTATTTAAATCATGATTATTTCTACCTTAGTTAAAAAGTTTACTCAAAGGCTATATTTAGCTATTTACTCAAAGGTACAGATAAATGGGTCTTTGAGTCAAAGGTCAGATTAATTTATCCAATTTGAAGCAAAATATCTATAATAGGAATATCATATACATAATACAGAATTGAAATAATTCGTTGTTATTATTACATGGATTATATACAATTTTGGCATAAGTATATGATTTCTTTTGACTCCCATTAACAAATTATTAATAATTATATTTGTGGTAGTACTAATATAAAATTCGAATGAATTTTATTTTGTGAAAGATTGTTGATCAATTAAATAAATTAGATAATAAGGAGAACATATGTGATTTTATGTTATAGGCTTATATGAATTTAAGACAAATTTAGGTGAAATTCCATTGCAATGTTTAATATATCAATACAACACATATATATTTCCCGAATGCTAGTTGATGGCTTTTCTGGACAAGAATGATCGTATGTCATCTTTAGTTAAATTATTTATTCTTTTTATTTTATTGTTATTTAATGTATTTAATTACTCCTATCTTTTACTTGGTAGAAAATTTATTTTATTATTAATAATGGTAGATTTGGTGGGAAAGATATTTAATTATAAAAAATATATCTATCCTAGTCCTTGGTAGATAAAGTTATTTCATTAAGATTTTTAGGAGTTATATTTAAAGACTCGTCTTGTATATTGTTTTAGTTAGTTGAATTTAATTAATAAAGATATTTAAGAGTGTTTTTCTTGTTTTATCCTTTTCCTTACGCTTTCTCTTCGTCACAAGTGCTAATTAAAAAAAATATATATACAAAAAATTATAGAGAGAGGAGTCTTTGTTTAAATTTTTTTTATTTTTTATTTTTAAAAAAGATTGTATTATTATTTATATATGAAATGACAACCGTCACTTATCATAATAAATATTCTAACTCATATCATATGATATACTTTCTAGATAAATTATTTAACCGACAAATAATTTTTTAGTTTACCAATCAATATTAATAGATGCTTTGATTTTTATTATAAAACTTAATATGATTATTATTTTTATATGTGAATAGATCAAGGTGGACTTAATTATTTTGTAAAACAAAAGTTTTGAATCAAATTTAATTTTTATATTAATTATTTGGATCCAAAATATCGATACTAAAAAGTAAAAAATGGTGGAGTGGCTTTTCGAAATATATCATTACAGCAATGCATTGACACTTTTAACCCAAACATATAAAAAAAAAATTTACATTTTCTTAATAATTTAAATTTATAATGAATTTACTTACACATTGCTTTAAAGAATGCTATCTAATATACTATTATTTAACAATTTTATTTATTACTAAATGGCTATATATTATATTATCAGTAAAATATTATAAAAATATTTATTTTAATCACTCATCAGTCATTAACACATCTGTATCGTGACCTATCACAATATTTACATTTACTCAACATACACATGTATTGTTGCTTAAATGCAGCCAATTTCATGTGTACATAATAAAGCAATTGGTACCCTTTTAGTTCATAAAAATATTACTTCATCTTCTTTTCCTTTTTCTTTTTTCTACCATTTTTTGGAGCATATAATAAGTGGACTTTGTGTGTGTGTGTGTGTGTGTGTGTGTGTGTGTGTGTGTGTTTTCCTGTATATTATAGTTATGTAAAAAATCAAACAAAAATCTTGAATTAATGTGACTAATTTGGTGGCAAATTGGGAATGCATATTAATATGTAAGTTACAAGATATATGTTAGTGTAATCAGATCCACTGCAGATTGTGCATCTTCTTGCTAATATAATATTCTTGAATAATTCTTATGCAAAAATCGGCAAAATTACATATTAATGCACAATCTTTCATGTTTTCGCAGTTTAATAACCACATTTACAAATTTGTAAATTAATACACCACTTTTACCATATTTGCAAATCGGTACATGAATGACGGTTCCGTTAAAAAAATCTAGCGAAAATCTGACATGACATTGACGTGGCTCAATGTCATGTTAGATTTTCGTTAACGGAATCGTCATTCATGTATCGATTTACAAAAATACTAAATGTGGTGTATTAATTTACAAATTTGTAAATGTGGTGATTAAACGGCAAAACCATGAAAGCTTGGTGTACTCCATGGGCTATCCAATTAATGCTATCTTTATAATTTTCTCGTTCATTTTGTTCGACTAATTGCGGTACATATCATATTAATTAATGTAAAAATACTTTTTTGACTATTCTATGATTTAATGACTAGTACTAATATTAACTGGAATGTCACTATCTTTTTATTTTAATCCCATTAAGTCAAATAGTTAATTGATTTTAGTGGCACAATAAATCCCCTAAAACCACATAAACATTTGCTATAACAAAAATAATTTTAATATTTTTTTGACAAATTAATTGGTCACACTCCGTTAATCTGTTA